ATGACAGGGTACAGATAAGGCATAAGAAGATCATTTCTGGTTTTAGCTGGCCAAGAGGCAAAAGATGAGGCAGAAAGAGAAATGATCTGAAGATTTAAGACCATTGACTCAAGGACTTCCAGACAAATGGATGGGCGCTGGGAAACTTACCTGTTTAAACTGCTATACTCAATACAGTTTCAAATGACACCAACATTGCATTTACCTTGAGAAGGTAAAATTAATTTCTTTTAACATGCAAATGTCCATGAAAGTTATGGAGAAGCTCCTTAACTCTTCTTAGCCAATAAAGCCACCTTGGCATTAACTAATTTAGTCATATTGCTTTCTACCTTAATGGAACACACAAGAACTTCAGATCACAGACCTCAGGACCACAACCGGCCTGGGGAGGTACCATGGTGGGATTCTGGTTCTACTATGGGATAAGGATAAGCATGGAGAAAACAGAGGGGAAAGTGTTAATCCCTTGTGGAAGATATTACTATGTGGACATTACTAGTTTAAGAAGTGACTGGAGGGAAGAATAAAGTCACTGGGTGGCTGGCTGGCAAAAATGGCTAGTTAGAGCTGAGATGGGCACCAAAGACATTTCGCTCACTTTAAAGTATTTTCTGGGGCTTCTGCTCAGTTCCAGAGATCAGATGAGAGGCAGAACATCCCATCAGAAATAAACCCCACATGCAAGCAGCTTCTTACTATGCCTGGGAGAGTCTAGAGTGGTGAGTAATAAGGATTTGGGGGTGTGTGTACATAATTCAAGTCTGAGAGAGGCACAATCCCCATGCTCCAGGTAAAGAGGGCAGAAAAGTTGTCTCCTTCACCTTGTAAATTCTGCAGGTTAGAGGCCCACATCTACACTAGGTGTTTTCCTTCTCTTCCACCTCCTGGGTAAGATAGGGAGCCATGGACGGTTCTCTGGGTTGAGCAAAGGGTTACTTTGTATGGTCCCACCGTTCAGTATATGCAGAGGATGCAAGAGCAAGTGAGATACCGATGATACAGAGCATGATTTAAGAAATACAAATGCCTGCGTGTAGAGCAAATGTTTAACTTATTGACAGAATCACTCCCTAGCTCCTAAGTATCAAAACATCTTTGATTTAAATAGATATCGCCATCTTAAAAAACCTTATTTTCATAAGCTTAAAATAATTATCTTAGACTTCTTAAAAATGCAGTAACAATGAATCTTCAGCACACAGCACCCAAGCAAAGACCAAATCTGTTAACTCAGGACTCAGTGCCTCCCCAGTGACATCGTGTTCTTAAGTTTGTGATGATGTCCTTATTTTCCATTATTACTTTTAAAAAAGTGTGACATGGCCTGGGAAAGGCAGCCTTGATTATGTCAACTCCCTCCTCTGTAGAATGAGATCAGTGATAATTAAAGCCCCGTTTGCCTTATAAGGTTTGTAAGGATCAAATCGTGGAAGGAAATGTTTCATGAATCAAAAACCCCACGCATGGATTAGAGTAGAGCTCCCAAGGAGGCTGTACCCTTCTCCCACAGACAGGAAGGCCCAGTGAGGGACAGGCATTTATGGTAGGTCTTCTATGTGCCACGTTATCTCACTCAACACATCTTATGCAGTGGGTGGTCATATCCCCTTTTGCATATGAGGCACATGGAGGTTAAGTGACTTACCTAACATAAGGCACCTACTAAGTGGTGGGGACATAATTTGAACCCTGGTTCGGAGCCCCAAAATCCAGGATTCCTGGCAGTAACTTTGCACCTACTTTACTATTCAGGTCTAAAAAGGAAAAATGAATACAAACATTTATTTCTCACATAACCATGAAGGTCTCATCACCACCTAAATCCTCAAGCTCTCAGTCAGTCCAAGGTATCGTATAAAATGTGTTAAAGTCTCCCAAAGGGCCAAAGCTGCCAGGATGAAACACTCAGGACTACACTGTGGAATGCAGCCCAGGAAATAAAATAAAGGCAGAGACACTCAGTTGTAATAAAAGTAAAATATTAAAACCTCAATTGCCCTGCCTGCCAAAGACTGCATCCCTCAGCCCCCATCAGGCACACAGAAGCCCCAGTGACTGCAATGCAGTGATCCAGAGAGAGCCTGGATTTATTTTAGCCTTACCTGACATCATTAATAAGACACAAACTTTACCCCTCATGGGTCAGAACCACCCCCATCTAGTCACAGGGCAAGGCACAGAAGCCACGCTGCTGATTTCTCCCCTGTGTGGTGGAGGCACCAGGCAGGACAGAAAAACAGCTTAAAGAGGTGGAGAGAAACCTGAGTGTGAATTTTCCATCATTCACCACCTGGTCACCCTGGGCCACTCCTTAACGTACTCATTACTAACACGTCTTCATCTTGAAGCATTTACCTCTGGGATGAATGAGAAGATTCAGGCAAACTGATCAGCAGATGCCTGTGAACACAGTAGGCACACAAGAGGGAGCAGCTTAGCTGATAATGAGACTCTTGGACTGGCTCATGCCCACTAGTGAGTAATTGCTTGAATTTTCTTTCTTTTTAAGCAGATACTCTCTGGTAGGCTAAAGATGACCATAAACTCCTTCTCAACTCCCTTTCAGAGGTGCCGTCCAACCCCCCTCCCCCGGGATCAGGATTGGCCTTAGTGACTTCCTTGGCCAATACAATGTGGCTGAAGTATTGCTCTGGGGTTTCCAAGTCTAATTCTTAAGAAGTCTTGTAGATTTTGCCTTGGCCTCATAGCCGTGAGCTGTTGTGTAAGAAGTCTGACCACCCTGAGGCCACCATGCTGTGAGGAAACCTTACTTTGTTCTGTGAAAAGGCCTGAGGGGAAAAAAAAAAGATGTTGGGCCAGCCCTAGCTGTTCCAGCCTCCAGGTGTTGGAGTTATTCCAGCCCAGATCCTCGCCACTGTGGAGCAGTCTGCCAACGTGACCAAACTGCAGATTCATGAGCAAAATAAGTCATTGTTGCTGCTTTAAGCTACAAACTTTGTGGTGATTTGTTATGCAACAAAAGATAACCAGAACCCTCCATCAGTTTCCCCCCCCCAAATTAAAAACATCAGTTTTCTGAGTGACATAAAGTAACATAATAAGTTTATGTTGACTCTGTAGTTCTCAAGTCTGTTTTAGACACTGAAAAAACATTTTGTTTGTGGACAATGTTAGTCCAGGCATAACTTAACAACTGGTTGACCAACGACATATATGATATTGTGTGTATATGTATGCAGGGGTTTACATTACCTAGGACTTTACTAAATATGTAATTCCTCTCATGAGAAAAAAAAATGCTACAAATAATAGCCCGTCATCTCAATGAACTTGTGAAAACCGTTCCCTGAAGTCAGACTAATTGATCTAGTGCCCAAGTGCTTCACCCTCTCAGCTCTGTACAAAGCCGGGCTCCAGCCCATAATCAGCTGTCTAGCCATCAGGGTGGTTTATCCAGGGCCACTCCCTACCTCCTAACCAGCAAGAAACTATCTACTCTTGGTTGCTGGCCTTTCTTTCTAGGCAGGTTTGCAAACAATGAAAGTGTTAAGGCAAGGCTGATTTCTGCAGCTAGCCAGATAATGTCTGAGCAAAATCCCTTCAGCTTTCCAACACCGTGAGCCTAGGAGGATGGGCCTGTTACAGTGTAAGACTTGACTCTGGACACAAAATACTTTTCTGGTGCCTTTCAGATAATATTTGGCCTTACGATATTATGCAAAATCAGCATAGATGAATTCAACAAACATTCTGCTGCCTTCCAAATCTACTATGCTTTCTTTCATATCTTGTTTCTTTTGCCTGCAAAACCTGCCTCACTTTCTATAGGGAATGTGTGTGTAATCCTATTTATCCTTCAAATGTTTCCTCTCCCATCAAGGCAGAGTTAATCATTCCTTGATGACATTGCTTCTTCAATCCATAAAGCCTTTTCTCTAAAAAGTAAGCTTATCATTAAAGAAAAAATGCAACAAACCCTACAGAATACATGGAGAAAGAACATGAGAGAGTCCCTGTAACTCTTGGCTATGTTCCACCAGGCTGAAACCAGGCTGACGTGATCTGTGTTTCAGGGATTAGAATTCAATAGCAAAAATGAGTCAATTAAAACACCCAACCAGAATGCTGTCTGTAGATAAAGTGCTTTGCACTGGGGGTGCAACATAACTTGAATTGCTAAATTCTAAAGGCTGACTGGTGATTTGCTCTCAATCTCTTTTCTTGTTACTTTCTTGGCAAAAGTTAACAAGGAGCCACTCAGCCTAGGAAACATCGGTCCTCTACCTCAGCAAGAACCAGACAAGCACAATGAACTTCAAGTTTTTCCAACTCAATGGCTTGATTTGACCCTGAGCGGGCACTGACTATTATCCTGAATGAGTCAATCTAAATATCAAACCTACCAACTGGTACTGGTTTTTGCATTCATTCAGTAACAATCCAATCCTAAGGACTATACAGTCTGTAAGCAGCAACTGGAGTTTTGTGGCACAGTCCCCAAAACACATGAGTGCCATACGGAGACAATCGTAACTGAACACGCTTCATTCTTCCACAAACCTAAATGAACCACATTTTCACCATTCATTATCTAAGAACACGCAAAACATTCCACGTCAAAGGTTGTACAGTCACTGAATGGTACCAGGTTCTAGTTCTATGTGACAAAATCCCACCGCCCACCATTTCCCCTCCATGAGAAAACCAGGGAGGATCATGCTGGAGTATCCCTTACTCCGCCACAAAACCAAGAGTAATCATGTTTTTGACACTCATTTTCAAAATGTCCCTAACATGCCAATTTAGAATTATCAAAATGAGGTCTATAGCAATTATGTACAGTAACTGATGCCCAGGGCAACAGAATGACTCAATGCTTGATACTTCAAGTACCTAGAGGAAGCAGATGGAAAATTTACCATCCTCCCTTACTGATCAAACTCTGGTCTTCCTCCAGGAAGTGTGTAAGTTTCCAGCACTGGACACATAAAAACATTGGTCTATTCTAGGAAAGAAGAAATGTGACATCAACTTACTTAACAGTTGGCAATAGAGGGCCTGTAAACTTCTCTTCATGGTATCATCTGGTCCTGCGTGTCCTCCAGTTTATTCATGATTCTGTCTAGGAAATTGGGAGAAGAAAATCGTTACATCTGGGGAACATAATTCAAGCTAATAATCAGAAGGAAGTCCACTCAACACGATCCTGGCTATAAAGCCTAAAATACCAGATTCGAAGGGAAAAATTCTTGGGAGTGAATATACCACAGTACAGTCTATGTGATAAAACTACCAATTAATCAGTCGGTTAGATCTTGAAACTATACACACCACTGAAGCAAACTTATATGGGCAACCAGAGAGTGAGAATCTGGCTCTGGAACTTTTGAGGATATCCAGTTCATCTCCCCTGAATCTAGTCTTGAAACAGGAGAAACAAGAAATTCCACATTAGATCTGTTCCTTTGGCTTTAACGCTGTGCCCTGTTTTCTAGGTTTAGTCTTGCTAGCTCTGCACTCATGTAAAGATAACAAGTTGCAGAATAGAGAGTAACATTTATTTTGTTGGAAGTTTTGTAGGAGCACCATGAGCTGGCCCACGTGGTCAGCTGCACGAACAAAGAATTCGTACACCAAGACATTTGCAACAACCAACCATCCCCTCCCCTTTGTATAAAAGGAACTTGTATTCTGACTGGGGGAGGATGGATCTCCAAGACATTAGTCTGCCATCCACTCATCTGTCGGCTTTCTGAATAAAGTCACTATTCCTTGCCCCAGCACCTTGTCTCTGGATTTACTGGCCTGTCGTGCGGCAAGCAAAACGAGTTTGGACTTGGTAACAGTATGACTGAAGCATTGTGCTGTACACCAGAAATTGACACAACATTGAAAACTGACTATATGTCAATAAAATACATATACAATTGAAAACAAAACAAAACAAAACAAAAACACCTTCAACACAGCTCCTTTCCTCTCCTCCTATTCATATTTCCTTCTCTGAAAAAGAAAAGAAAATATTGGAGGTTGTCAGATCCACTGAGATGCTGAATTCCAAACAAAAGGGCAAAAATTATTTGTCTCCTGCGAAGGAAAATTCTACAAAAGGGGATCAACTGACGTGGATTCTGCCTGGAGGACTGAGCTGGTCACTGCCTGAACGCTCCTCAAGACCAGCTGAAGCTCATTTGCGTTTGTTGGAGGAGGGGGTTCTGCTGTCCACAGCCACTGAAGTCAGCAACAGGGTGAAAATAGAACCAGAAGTTTGAGGCATATGAGAATGACACAGACCTCCTCCTTCTGGCCTTAAAGTGTATTAAGACCATTTATCTCATTTGAGGAGACAGAAAGGTGCTTGTGCGAGGTAAAGAATACACATCGCACTTCCGTTTTTATGGCTTTGATATTAAAGACTGAACACTGAGGTCAAGGAATTAAACGATATTGTAGCACTGCCAAATACTAAAGGGCCATGTTCTGTCATTTTGACTGCACTGCTTATGAAAAAGATTATTTCTTGTCCATAGCAAACTCATGCCTTTTTCTTTTTTCTTTTGCAGTGCCTGAAAAACATCCTTAGCAATTGAATTTGGGGATCTAAAAAAATATGTGCATTTCCTTTGGGTAGCAGACATTTGTTCTGAAAGATGTGCCAAGTTTTATAATGGAAAGGGAGGCAGGGCCTCATGAAACAGGCAACACTCTCATCAGAACATTTTATATGTGGAAAGAGCATTTAAACCTATGATGTGTGTGTTGAATAGGCAACGTATTCCAGGGTGTGCAATTATTCACAATATCATAGTCATCGCTAAATTTTAATTTTGACCTTTAACTTCAAACTCTATTTTTTCCATTCCCCTTCGTTAGTTCCTTCCATCCCATTTAAGTCCACATAAAAGCTTCTCTAATTCTTGAACTACTAGGAAGACAGTTTTAATTTGTGGCTCTGGTTTAATCTTTCAAAATATCTAATTTATGTCAAGCGATTCCACAGGATAGGTAGAGTCTGTTGAATGTGCAGTTGGAATAAAAATTACAATGAAATGAAAAATTATGTGGTCAAGAGTGGGGTTGGCCAGTGCAGAACAGGAGGAGCTGCCACTTGAAGAGCGAGGATTAAGGTCACGGGTTAAGACCAGTGTAGACAAGTTCAGTTCATGGGGAAGTCATGGTATTCCAAGCATTTCTGATGATTCTCAGCCTTATTCCTTGTGCTAGGAAGCATGAATAAAGTAATGCATTTGACCTCACCTGAAATATCAAATAGCTCATTTAACTATGTTGACAATTCAACCTTCCTCTGATGACTGCAAATGCTAGAAGAACTATCTCGAAGTACCAAGACTGGTGTTCCCTAAACCAGCTGATGGTCAGAATCTATTTTAAAAATAAATTCCTCGGTCTTTCCCTAAGGAATTCTAATTCCAGATTCTTAGATGGGACAATTTTAAAAGGCTCTCAGGTCAGCTCTCATGATAAGCCAGGGATGGATACCAAGACCAAATCTAGCAGCTCTAACCCAGACTACACATCGGAACCCTGGGGGAACACCAGCTGCTGGAGACCGAGGGATCCCTGCCCCCGCTGGAGACAGCGCTGGAGCCACAGTGAAGCCAGTCCCCTTGTTCTTATTCCTGAAACTGGCAGTTTTCTGAGAGATGGAGGAAGTGGAATGGTACATGAAGTCACATTTGCAAGTTATATTCAAAACAGAAAATGAGTGATTCAATGTTTCTTAAATATTTAGATCCACAGCATCTCATGCAATTCAAGTTTTAAGCAACATGAACTCTTTCTGATCTTTTCCTCAGTCTCTCTTTGATAAACCTCTCACGTGTCCCTGCTTCTTGTTTCTTACGGATGCCCGAGATTCAGAGATTAGGAATGGAAGGAAGAGAGACTGAGGTTCCTCGAAGAGGGTGTGAAAGCTGTATGCGGACTGAGAGTCTGGCACTCAGCCGAAACCAACATCATCTCCAAATCGCCTGTTCCCAAGGTGGAGCGACGTTCCTGCTCCTGAGCACTGCATTCACAGAGGAAATAGAGTGAGGAGCTGAGGCTGCAAATTCTGAGGTGGGAGCAGGGCGAGGGCCACCCTGAAGGACCACAGCCAACCACGCAGAGAGAAGCGGGGCAGGAAGATACAGGACAAGCAGCAGTGAGCCTGGAGATCCAGTCTGGGGAAAACACTGAGCGCCACCGTGTAACAAGCACGTGCTAGTAGCAGGGGCCGGGCAGAAAAGCAAGTGAGGCACAGTCCCTGCCCTCCAGCAGCCTGCAGTCCAGCAGGGGGAGAGACCATCGTGTCAAAGATCACTCTACAGCCGGCTTTGGCTCCACCAGCCGAATTAGACAAATTCTTACATTATGTTACAGCAAATGATAACAAATTAGAAAATGTGTTACCCTTCCTGTCTCAGCACCCGTATCTGTAAAACAGGCATCACACCTACATGGAAAGGTGGTTTTGAGAATGAAATAACATTCCTTTCCCTTTAGAAGAAGGAAAAACGACATGTTCTGGGGAGTACAAGTAAGGTTTTTGAAGGAGATGGAATCTGCTGTAAACTTTCAAAGCTAAGAAGGATTTTGATTGGTAAAGATGCTGAGTGAGGACAGTAAGGCGGGAGTCTGGATGAATTCATTAAACAACAGGAAAGCTATCACTGGCTGCTTTCGAATCCCTAAGCAGTGTAGTTTTGGATATCATGTGACTGGCTCTCCAGCTTCTCAGGCAGGGTTGGGCCAGAGTTCTCACCTTCTAGGGGTGGCGGGTAGGGTAGGAGGTGTGGAGGAGAGGACGGGACTGACAGGGAAGCGGCAGGCAGTAGTTGGGAAGCAGAGATGGAGGCTGGGTTCCCAAGTCTCAGTCTACCCAGATCCAAACAATGAAACAAAACAAATGCTTACTAACCATGAGATAGCTGGAATGTTACCCCCCTGGAAGTCCCCGATAGCTACAGGACCCAGAACTGTCCCCATCAGTGTTTACACTAGATGACCACCGCTAGCTGGTGCCAGGCCCAAGTTTACACCTGGCTAGAACTGGACCACGCAGCTGGATCCTAAGATCTCTAGGCTACCCAGGTAGGCACTCTGGTCATCTCATCCATTACACAGTAATGTAACTGCATGGTTTACAAAATGGGGTTCTCAGACCACCAGCAGCACCCAGGACGGTGTGAGAAATGCAAAGTATTTGCATTTGCACCCTACACCCACTGATTCAGAAACTCTGGGGATGGGGCCCAGCAGTCTGCACCTCAACAGGCCCTCCAGGATGCACATTAACGTTTTGCCCAGATGAAGTTCTGGACCCCTTTATTACGCTATAGCAGGGATTTAAATCATTTACATCTTCAAAGAACCAGTAAGTAGGGAGGGGGGAATTGGAGCAGAAAGACCCACTTCCAACGTCTCTTTCAACTGTAACAGACCGTAATTCATCAGCTCCCCAGTGGGGACAGTGTTTGTAGTTCATTAGTTCAAACAGATTGTTGGTGTTTGCAGCTCTTGTTGGGAGCATTGGCACAGTGTGTCTGAATTCTACTGGCTAATGTAGAAATCCCACGCATTTCCCTTATTTGACTTTTTAGACTAGTATTATTAATGCTCTGTGGGTGACCCCCACGTGGGGAGGGGAGCATATTAACCCATGGGCTCTGCGGTAGGAAAACCAACAAAATGACTGCAACGTAGTTGTCTCTGCTGTGGTGATACACAACCAGTAAGAACTAGACCTTTCACTGAATTAAAATCCTAGACACAGGCAGCCAGAATTGATTTAAACAATTAAATCCTAGAACAACTACATTCAAATAAACCTTTCATCTGGAACATAAAAGACGTAACAATGGCAGCCAATACTTAAAGGTAAATCAAATGTGTAAGCCAACTGTGCCTTGCAAATCAGCCCAAACCAAAAGTCTAAAATTCAAGGGTCTAAAAGTTGAAGAAAATTGAGCTACATTTCAAGGAAATCAGACTGGGGGATGAGCCAGGATTTAAAAAACCACTGGCCATCTCTTTTCCAAGGCTGTCCTTCCTCAAGCTGTTGATACACATTGACATTTAGATGCAGGCTTTGTAAATTAAAATGTAAGTTCTGGGGAGGCA